AAAGATATCGCTCTTTTGTCTCTGGGATAAATCAACAGCTGAGAGCTCATGGCTGGCCATCAATAATGGAATATTATTAACAGACTCTGCTAACTCATCAGGGCAACTGAGAAATCAATTCTCCTTGTGTATCTGGAGTCTGTCAATTTCAAGAGCCTGTTAATTATTGCCTATTGCCACCACTTGGATCCATTTTCTTCAGGTTTTGCCTCAACGTTTCCAGAGGCTTCCAGCTACCTTCTTTATGTAATCATCATTTGCCACGGCTGACCATCCCCTCCTCCTTAAACTAAATATCTTCTCCCATGGGCTCCAAAACAGCACATGCTTAGCCTAGTTTTCTCCTAACTCATGGGGCTCCCTCCTCTGTCCTCTTATTGGGATGTCTTTCTCTTGATAACCTATAAATGTTGACATATACAAGGACTCTGTCTTCCTCAGTGGTTCTCACTCAGCCTTCCTAATGCTGCTGCCCTTTAATACAGTTCCTCACAGTGCAGTGACCTCCAACCATAAAATCATTTTTGTTGATTGTTCAGAACTGTAATTTTTCCACTGTAATGAACCCTAATGGAAATATCTGACATGCAAGATGTCTCCTATGTGACCCCTGTGAGAGGGTTGTTTGACACTCCAATTGGTTGGGACTCACAAGGTGAGAACCATTGACTTACACATATATAAAACATAATTTTTTTCTGAACTTAATTATATTCTCATATTTTTAGGAACAAGATACATACTTAAAAATTAGTGTGCAGTTGAACACTGATTTTTATAAAGAGGAGCTAAAATTAGAACTTATTTTGTTTACATAAACTGCCTTCAAGGTATAGCTAAAACGGCTTAAGGACATATAAAGAGTACATCTGAGGAAACAAAAATAAATCAGGGAGCTTTGGACCCAAAGTGGTTTGGAGGCATCCACTGAAGAGAGGCTTTTAAAGTGTGAGTGCCAACAAATCATTAAAAAAAAAAAAAAGTTTAGTCACAGCTCTTAAGTGGCCTTGTTTGATCTGTCCCACTGGGAAAATTCTAGTTGTATAATTAAGCTCTTGCTGACGGCTTCTGATTGGCTGAGCTTAAGTTTTGTTTTCCTTTACTACAGACATTTACAAGAAATGGGTCAAGTTAGGTTTCAGTCATGTTTACAAATCCAGAAGGGTTAAGGTCTCTGATGTGGGTGAGCTGGCTTTGTGTGCTCCAGTATCCTTCAGGCTCTAGTAGACACTGGTCTCATGTAGCCCAGGCAGGATTCAGACTCACGATGTAGCTAAGAATGATCTTGAACTTCTAACCCTTCTTTCTCTACAGCTGGCATTACAGGTGTGTTCGCCACCACACTCATTCTGTGTGGTCCTGGGCCTCATGCACACTACTCAAGAACTCTATTACCCAAACTACATTCCCAGACCAGAATTTCTGAACAACTCTATAGATTACCTTTCTTGCTTATTTTCAACCACCTTGCTGCCCTCAGAACAAGAATGAACTTGGTTCCTCTCTTTTGCTGCCAGCGTCTGCAAGACACACTCCATCGGCACGCCTTGACCTTCTGCAGTGACATCTACAGTGCAGGGACTGCTGCCGCCCTTCCACACTGTGTGAAGGGCTCCTGTCGGTCTACTTGTCACCTTCATTTGAAGACCCAATAGACAGCTTCAGACATTTTCCTGTTGAAAACTGAATCCCACACCTGTCTCTTCTTCATGTTCCCAGCTTAGGAAGTAGTCACCCTGGTCTTCTAATTGCCCAGCCCTCATCTTTATCTTTCTTTCATGGTCCATGTCTGTCCTAGTTTGCTGTCTGTTGCCGTGATAAACACCACGACCGAAAGCAACTTGAAAAAGAAAGGGTTTAACCTTCACTTCCACATCACAGTCTATCATTGAAGGAAATCAATGCAGGAAGTGAAGGCAGGAACCCAGAGGCAGAAACTGAAGCAGATCCCGTGGAGAAATACTGCTTACTGGATTGTTCCACGTGGCTCCCTCAGCTGTTGTTTTAAAAGAAATGAAAATCCCAACCAATTTGTTTTACCAATAAAGACTCAGGAGCCAGATGCTCGGGTGAAAACCTGCTAGCTCAGAGAGGCAGAGGAAGAATCCAGCTGACCTTCCTTCTCAGCTCAGGTCCAGATGGAAAAATCCCAAAAGGCTAGCGAGCTCAGCTAACAGCCCAGGAGGAAAATGCCCAAAATCCCAAGACCTAAGCTAAAACCAAAGAGCCAAAGCCAAAAAGCCCGTCCCCCTACCCTCTCTTCCCTTTCCTTCCCTTTCCTTTTCCTTCCTTTCTCTCCCTTCTCCCTCTCCCTCCTTCACCTCCTCCTTCTCCATGCTGTCTTAAGTACCCCTCAACTCAAAGTCCCTCCTACTCTTTAATCCCCGTCAGCTGGTTTCTTGTTCTGCCTCTTGACCTAGGTAGGGTTAACTTTATTAAATCCTGTGTACAGAAAGCTCTTGGATGAAAAGTGTGTGCTAGAGTTGGCAGAACCACACCTTAATCACCTGTTTACAATAAACAGAAACTTCTTGGAGTTAAGGTGTGTCTAGTTAGGGCTCAACCAAGCCAAACCATAAACAGGGGTTTACAGTTCACAGTGCCGGGAGTCACAGTGGGATCAAATATACTGCAACACTCACCCGTGTTTCCTGTACAAGCCAGGACCACTTGCCAAGGGGTGGCACCATCTACAGTAGGCTGGGCCCTCCCGCATCAACCGTTAGTTAGGAAAAACAGAGCTGTGTACAGGTCAGTTCAACGGGGGCAATTCCTCACTTGATGCTCCCTCTTTTCACATCTCTAGCTTACATCAACTTGACTAGAAACTAACCATCATAGTGTCTAAGGAATCTCACTGGCTCTTACTTCTAGATATGCAGAGCGTCTGGTGTCTGCTCATCATTGGAACCCTTAGAGGCTACCACCACCTCCCAGCTATTTTCACTCACTTTCTGTGGGACAGCCTTGCTACCTCTTTTTAAGATTTGAAGTAGCCAGGCTTGGTAGTGGTGGCCTGTAATCCCGGCTACTGAGACAGGAGGATCACTAAATTGAAGACTTTCTTGAGCTATGGGGCAAGTTCAAAGGCAACCTAGGACACTTATGGAGCCCCTGTCTCCAAATAGAAAACAAAAATAAAGAGGCTGAGGATGAAGCTGAGTGGCAGCACACTTGGCTAACATCCACCCTCAGCCAGCATAAAACCAATCAATCAAATTAGAAGTAGCTGATAATGATAGCACACACCTATAATTCCAGCACTAGGGGACCTGTAGTAGGAGGATTTTGAGTACAAGACTATCTAGGCTATATTGGAAGAGCATCCTCAAACCAAAGCCAAAACCTAAGAGCAGATTGGTCCAGTCTCCCCCAAATCTTTCATCAGCCTCCTGACACATATGAAAAACAAACAAACAAAACCCCAAAATCTTGCCAAGTTCTCCTGGCTGAGGATTATCTATTTTGTCTGTCTTATCTCTCTTCTTCCTACCCCATCTTCCCCCAGCATCACTGGTTGCTGTCCTGTTCCCATAGAACCCCAGCTCTGCTCACCCCTGGGCCACAGTATGTGCTATTTTCTTGTCCAGGATAGCAGTTTGCCCACATTCCACAGGGCTTACTTCCTGACTGGCTCAAATGTCTTTGCAAGGAAGCCTTTACTAGTCACCTGTCTCAGGTTGTATTCTCTACAAGCAGAAACTGAGCCAGAAGTTTGCACCCAGGATATAATTAGAGCTTAACACCTGTGGAGATGAGGGTGCTGGCAAGATTAGATAGCAATAGTCGTTAGTAGCACTGGGCTGATGAATCTCGGCTCAGGCCAAGAGGGAGCTCTGGAGCCAGTATTGCTTAGCAATGTGTCCTAATGGTTAGTTGGGTCTGGATGCTCCTGACTAATTGATTAGTTGTAAAATGCAAGGTACCATACAAAACGTATGGCTGCTACCCTGGGCCTCTCAGCAGCTAAAGCAGATGCTGAAGCACCTGAAGGCTAGAGACTGTGGCCATACCTTTTCCTTCAAGGTGGCTCTCTGCAGTCAACTATGTTCTCCATACCGCCCGAGTTAGAACGGTAACACCCTTACAGTCTGTGCTACCCCTCATTGCTTTACTTAATTGCATCCAACATTATCTAATGTAGCATATGATTTAATTTATTTCACTTATTTGTTTCCCACAGTGGAATGTCTGCCCTTTCTCTTTTCTGTCTCTGTCTCTCCGTTATTAGCGTAGTTGGAGCTCTGTGTCGTATGACACTATTCGTGGGGAAACATGAACAGATGTCTACATATACTAGGTAGGGAGCCAACAACGTATCAAAATATAGATATCACTAAAGTCCAATTTGGTGGGACAATGACTTTTATTGGGTTAACTTACAAGAGGATGTGAGTGAGGGCCTACTTATGGGCACAGGCTAGGAGTGCTCCGATGATGGTACCAGCCCCAGCTCCCAGCGGTTAGGGCTGCTTGTGTTTTTCTTAAAGCTATTGCCACGTTAAGTCCACCGGGTGGACTTCTGTTGTTCGATTTTGAGACAAAAACATTTACCACCTCCATCTCTTAAACTGATCGGTACTGAGATCATCTGTGTGAGAAACCATTGGTGAAGAGATCATCTGTGTGAGAAACCAAGTGCCATCTCCTGCAACGCAAATAGTCTAAGAGACACTATTTTCTTACCTTTTAACATGCCTGAAATTGGGGTGTGTCTTTCAGACAATGGCTTCTTAGAGTGGATGCAGTGTGGTATTGTTTGAGGGGCAAGTGCCTGTGCTCTGCCGCTGCTCAGCTCAATTCGTTTCCGGGAGAACGGTTTGGCTTTTTAACCTTTGTCAAGGTCCAGGCTTTTCTGGGCTTCTCTCCGGCATCACGACATTACAGCTGCGCGACTTCCCTGGGCAATACGGGAAACTGCGGCGGTGCTCGCGAACTTACAGCAGCGCGGCGCACACGCGGCCGGGTTGCCCTGAGCAACCGGCGCGTCCCCGCCCGGCGGTCAGCTGATGGGCCGCCCGCCGGGGAGGCCGCGGCGCGAACATGGCGGCCGAGATCCACTCCAGGCCGCAGAGCAGCCGCCCGGTGCTGCTGAGCAAGATAGAGGGCCACCAGGACGCCGTCACCGCCGCGCTGCTCATCCCCAAGGAGGACGGAGTGATCACCGCGAGCGAGGACAGGTAGGGTCCGGGAGCGCGCGGGGGCCGGGGCGCGAGGTGGGGGCGGCCACGAGGCACGGCGGGGTCCGCGGCCCCGCCTCCCCTCCTGTGGTCACCCCGGATCGCGGGGCCACCCCCGTCTCCCGCGTCCCTGCGGTCCCCCGAGATCCGGGTGCCGTCAGGCGGATCTGCCTCACGCCCCCAGTCTGGGATCTTTCCCTCCGCGCGTCTTTAGTCCCGGGAACCCCAACATGCTCCATCAGCCCCGGACCGTCTCACTGCCCCGTTTCAGTCCGGGACTGCCTCCGCAGCACCTCCTCTATCACGGGACCCCGACTCACAGCCTCTCCCATTCCTGGACCCTGTCCTACAGCTCCCCTCCAGTCCCGGGACCCCGTCGTCCCACAATTCCTGTCTAGCCCGGGACCCTGACCCACAGGGCCCATCCAACTCGGGACCCTGATATACAACACCCCTCCATCCTGGGATCTTGGGTCTCACAGGGCCTCTCCAGTTCTGGGCCTTCCTCCCTGCGGTCTTCAGTTAAGGACCCCTGCCACACCCTTCCAGCCTGGGACCTACCCTCTCCCTGTCCCCTCTAGAAACAAACCCTTGCTCCCACCGCAGCCTCCAGTCCGGGGTTCCCAATTCGCCCCTGAAACTTGGGACGCCAGCCAATTTCCCCCTGCCGCTGGAACCCTGTCTCATAGTGCTGCCCCAACCTTTGCCTCCTGTGTCTTCCTCGTCGGAGTTCGCCTAGTGCTCCAGAGTTTCTGGGTTCTCCTGGGTCCGTTCCAAGTCCCAGAGGGCTAGTGGCTGATTACCTTGGGACCTGGTGCAGGTGTTTATTCCTTACAAGGAACTCCAGGGGCATTCACCTTTTCCTTCTAGTTTGTTTGGTCGTTGGGGTTGGGGCTCTGAACCTTTCAGTGCTTCACCCTGGCCTCAGAATCAGTTTTTCTTTTGTTTTTTAAACCACAGTTGCTAGAACTATCTGAACTCTTCATTGGCCAAATAGTCTTAAAATTTTAAATAAAGGTGATTCATTCTTTAAAAGACCAGATGCAGGTATTTCAGAAGGAAAATTTATTTACAGGTAATTTATCACCACAAATAAGGAACAGAATGTCATTTACCACAAGACTGAAACAGCCTTGCTGTCAGTGCCGGTTACTCGCTACAGTTCAGAAAAGACTCACTTGGTCCATGATTTCATTTTACCCAAGAGGGAACTGAAGCTACAAAGATGTTACTAGTTTCTCTGAGTCAAGGAGATACTGAGGAAGCCCTGAATGGAACTGGGAACTTGTCATCTGCCCTCGGGTTTTCAGGACAGTGTAAAGTGACTGGGGGAATCACCCTTGTTTTAGAATTGTAGCAAGTTTGAAACTTTTAAAGGTTTAAAAAGCCGTTGAGGGAAATGTTTCCTCGGAGTCTCAAGCAGTGATAGGCCCAAGCTGGAAGGGCTTCAGGGAGAGTATTCTCTTCTCCCGGTGCTGCAGGCAGAGCCCAGCTTTTTGTCTTCATAGCTTTTGAAGTGAGTGAAATTGAGGGCCTGCCCTGAATGGGAAAACGAAACTTGAAGCCCACAGCTCCTACTGAACCTTTGTATTTGGTTTTTACACGAGCTCAGTTAGAGCTTTTTTTCCTCAGGTAGTGAGCGTGTTTTCCCTCCAGTTTACAGGTAATCGACCTCAAACAAGGGGGTATGTGATTGGTAGGCTCTTTGTGTAGGTGTGTGAAACAGGAATGGTGTGGGGAGAGTCGGAACATGAGACTAGAGAGAAGGGAATGTAAACAAGGCAAATGGCAGAACAGGGGTGTTTGTGTGATACAGAAGTTCAGACAACAGTTTATTAAACTCAGCCGGCTTTATCTGGTGAAATATTTTATTTGTGACTCATGTGTGTTGGGTAAGTTGCTGAATATCTGAGATTGCTGGGTAGGAACGGTCCTAATAAAGATTTTTATGGAAAGTGATTACTAAGCTGCTTCTCACATATTCAAGGGAGTCTTGGATCAGCTCATTTTTTTTTTTTTCACTCCTGCTCAAATGTCTTGCAGCAAATGACAGGACCACCAAGGAGTCACTACTGAAGGTTTCTGATGTGTATTTTAAGCCTTTTTGTAGGTACCACAATTCATGGCATTCAGTGAGAACGTGGGCTTTGTTTTGTTGGTTGGTCTTAGTTTTTTTCTCGAAACCATCATTTGTCATACTTGTCGTTCACTCATCCATTCATCCATCCAGGAATGCTGTATCGATTGAATGAGAGGTCCTGGGGATAAAAGAGGGGTCAAAAACCACAGTGCTTATACTCATACACTTTTGATTTATGGACCCTCATGGCCTTTGATCCACTGAAGCCTGTATAGAATATGCCCGAGGACTTAGAACACTGGCCTTTCTTATTCAGCCAAGACCATGTCAGACATACCTGTTCCTTCATCTCCACCGTAACTATAAAGGCAGCTGACATTAAAATAGCTCTTTCCAAGTGCTGAGCAGTTTACGGGGGACATGGTCCTGTGTCTCAGCTCCCCAGATGGCCGGAAAACACAGAAGGAAGAAACTCCTTGGGCTGGGTCCAAGAGTCATGTGTAGAGGAGGGCCTCATGGATGAAGGACTGGATTATGGAAAGGAGGGTGCACGGCCTGGTTCCAGGCAGAGGGAAAGGACTGAAGGGAGTGTGAAGTGGTAAGGAATTCTAGCTATTTTAAAGTGACCAGAGCAGAAGGTGGATGGGAGGCCATGGCAGCAAAGGCTGAGGCCTTGAAAGGGCAGTGCCCAGTTTTGGAGAAGATTTATGGTGTGACTCTAGGAACTGGATTTTATTTTGCAGTCAGGGATAAACACTAAAAAAAAAAAAAAAAAAAAAAAAAAAGCAAATGATATGATTTGAATGCATGTTTTAGAAATGGCAATAGTTAATCCTTAGAAAGTCCCTTCTCTACCAACCAGCGCAAATTTGGTGTGTGTGTTACTGCATCCAAGCTCATATCTTCCATGAGAACAGTGCACTCCATTTTCCTCAACAGCAGTTCCAAAACTCAATACATTTTCAGAGTAGGAAGTTCCTGTGTGTGGAAGTTTTTGCAAAGCTCATTGGTGCTAAAACTTGACCTGAATAGATGAATTGTTTGCAGTCTTTATTCATTGAGTACAGTGTGAATGTCTGTTTTACTGCAAAGGCGGCAGCAGCTGAGGATGCTCTGTCAGGTCTTGCCAAGAGTCTATCAAACATAAGGTAAACATACTGTATTCTGATGGCCATTTGACAGGTCAGAAAACTGAGGCACAAACCACACTGAAGTACTTACCAAGACCACAAAACTCTTTAATTGGTAGGACTGAGATTTGAACCTAGTTCTGTTACTTTAGGTCCAAGTTCTTTTAGTCATACATCTCTGCATTAGGAAAAACAGGCTATGTTAGTCAGCAATTGACTGCAAGCAGCAAATACAAAATGACAGGATTCACTTTATTATTATTATTATTATTTACAATTTATTTACTCTGTATCCCAGCTGTGACCCCCTCCCTCGTCTCCTCCCAATCCCACCCTTCCTCTTTCTTCTCCCCTCCCCTGGTCCACTGATAGGAGAGGCCCACCTCCCCTTCCACAGGATTTACTTCTTGCCTTGATCAGTGACCCTTCCTTTTTACTAATTTTCAGGATTTAAAAAAAAAAAATGGATTGCACCTTTTTAATACAACTTTGCAACTTGTTCTTTAATTCTTACAAAAGTAACTTTATAGACTGTTATTTGTGTGTGTGTGTAAAATAATCTATGTATGAGTGTAGATGCATGCTTACTGACGTGTTCCTTGGAAGACAGGCTGAACTTTCTTATCAGCTCTTTTTCAGTTTGCTTTTTACTCAGGATTTCCTGTAACCCAGCCTGGCCTTGAGTATACTGTGCAGCCAAGGGTGATTTTAAACTCCCAACTCTCCGGCCTCTATCGCCTGATTGCTAGAACTCTGGGTGTGTGCCACCACATTGTTTATTTATTTTTTTGTTTTGTTTTGTTTTTGAGACAAGGTCTCACTATGTGTCCCAGGCTGGCCTGGCACTGGTGATCATTCTGTCTCAGCCTCCTGAGTGCTGGGATTGTAGGTGTGTACTGCCACAAATCTTCTTCGCAGAAAAGAAAGTTTGAGTGTTTGTAGCAGGATCCAGCTGAAGTTAATGTATTACAGAAAGGCCACAGAGAACAAGGATGTCCTGAAAGGAAAAGCTAAAGAATCTGGGGGCTTCCTGAAGCCAGGGCCCACTTTTCAAACATCCGTGCCAGCAGTTCCTCCATCGACCGTGGCCCCCAGGGAACATTTGAGACTATCTGCAGTCACATTGGCAGGGCAGAAGATACTGTTGGCATATGGATCCTTGCCAAGCCCAGAGCTCAGCATCCTTTAATGCCAGGGCGACTGCTCAACGTCCCGTGGTACACAGACCCTAGTCACTAGCCTTTCTGCTCTTCAGAAAGTGGTTCTCAAACCGGAGTGTTAGTCAGCATCACTTGGAACTCTTGTGAACCAGTAACTATTGAGCCTCACCCCCGGAGATTCTGATTAGGAAAGTTGAGTTTGTGGGGGCAGTCCCTGAGAGAACTAGCATTTCTATCAAGTTCCTGAGGGATGCTGCTGATCCAAGGATCACACGCTAAGCACCAGTGATGGGCAAGAAAGGAGGGTTGTACCTCAATCAGAGGAGAAAGCTCTTTACACCTCTCTTCAAAGAAAACTTATTTTTAGATTGTGTGTATATCTGCATCTGTGCGCTGTGAGTGCAGATGCCCTCGGAGTTCCAAAGATGTTGGATGCTGTGCTGCTGGAGCTACAGGAGGGTTTGGGTTTTAGGAACCGTACTCTGTTCCTCAGTATGTGCTCTTAACTGCTGAGCCATTTCCCCAGCCCTCCTCCCCATTTCAGCATTTTGGATATATTTCCTTAGAGTGATTTTACAGATACCCACACACTAACAGGTATTCTGTCTTTGTGACAGAATGCCTGAGGTA